GTAGCAGTTCCTGACATCATGTACGGAAGCACGTAGAATTTTCAGGCCTTGTTATATTTAAGAGCTTGTATATGAATGCTGCATATATCAATACTCCATAACAGAATTTTGAAGTTTTCCTATTATGAGAAAAAAAAATGATCTTGAAAATCTCAAGTAGCTTGAGCAGTGTGACAATGATTATATAATAATGAGCAGAAATGACATATAAAATTAATAATTAATAAGAAAGACAGAACAAAAGGAGCCAGTTTGAAGAGGCAACAAATATATAACAAGAATATTATTGAATATCATTAAAATAAGAAATGTATTAGCAGATGGGGGAAAAAAAGAGAAATAAATAAAGTGGGATATAACAAGTGATTTCATGAAAGGTAATTTTGGCAGACATTTAATCCCTGATGTATTTTCAGCGAACTCATCTAACAGTAACGTGCAGTGTCTGATCTGAGTATAAAAATGAACATCAGGAACACTGACTATTTAAGAAATACAGATTGTAGCGTTACAACTTCAATTAGTTTTTCCGGGTGATCTCTAATATTTCTATTGCACAGTAATCACCTGGGAAAACAAAATGATACGGCAGAAGACAGGGAATAATCTGACTGAACACAATAGAACAGAAAATGTATGTATTCAGTATTGGTCTATCAAGAGGTTTTTTTTTTTTTTCTTTCATTTGAAAGAGTCACAAAAAAACATGATTCATCTTGACTGCATGTGGCTCGATACAAAGCTTGGACGCAAGACCTCTGGAACGTTGACATGCAACAGTGCTAGCAATGATTTTGTACTTGTACAATGAATTCTAATTCACTAACCACATCAGAGATGCAGATACATTAAAGATGAAATCAGTTGTGGGCACCCAGATGCCCTGCTTTGCAGATGTCTTTGAAAACTATAGGGGTTAGGAAGGCATTTTGCTACTCTTTCTTTCTCTCTGAACGTACAGTATGCTGTTGAAGCCTTGTGGTGCCATTTTCACATTGTCACGAATATCTTCTGCTGTCCCTAATAGTTTTCACTGTACAATATCTAAAATATTTTAGCCGACTGAAAGTTAAGTTTGAGTGAAATACATTTGGAGAAGTAATATCACTGTACTCACATACAACATGTAACACCTGCTGGGTTTCTAGGAAGATACTTATAAACAGTGAACATGACTGTCATTAACTGCACGAAATGCATATGTTAGGTAGCAGGGAGGATATGATGTCAGCAACCACAGCAGACATAGAGCTGTCACTCAAGTGAGACTCTATAGCAGGGGTCTCCAAACTTTCTAAACAAAGGGCCAATTTACTGTCCTTCAGACTATAGGGGGGCCAGACTGACTGACGCCAGTGAGACTAGAAAATGTCTTAGCGTCAGTCGAGTAAACAATGCTTCTAGCTTGGTGGTCAGTGGGAGCAAAACATTATTAAGGAAAGAGGGTATAAGGGGAACTGATATGGGTTCAGTGTTTTCTTGTAGGAGAGTTGCCATGTGGCAAAGTGTGCCCTCCTTATGTGTGTAGTGTACGTATGCTCTAGATCAGGGGTCGGCAATCTATCAATTGCAGTCTACCCTTCAATTGCAGGCTTCTGACAGATAGAATATGACCCATCCTGCTTTGCTGCTAGCTCCAGAGCATGTCCGTGGCAACACCCCACCCACTTACCCTGCGGCATGCAAACCTAAGTCAGCCGACCTGCCTATCCTTCTCTAATGTGTCCCAGGTGTAGTGCCTATTGAGGATTGCAGGAGTGGAAGACAGGTGTGCACTGCTATACTAAGGATGACAAGCATTGTGTATATTGCCTGCCTCTGATAAGAAAGGTGGCATATATAGGGATTGCGTTGCCTGCCGGAGGATTTGCATTTATGGGCAGTCAATCTTGTGATCCATGCACTACTGCCAGATATAACAACCAGCAAAAGAAGCTCAGCATGGTCAAGGACTCTAGGCAGTGATGCAGTCTACCTTCCTGATTGGGCATGGAAGGAACAGCAAAGAACTGTTTAAGTCATCCTTCTGTTCACTTTAGTCTCTCCTCCTATCAGTATGCTGTCAGCACATGTGCATTGCAATTAAGTCTGATTGGCTCCTAGTGCTGCCCTTCTCTCACCCAGCGCTGCTATGCAGGAGATTACAGGAGGCTGATAACACATACAGTATTCATGCACTCTCACAAGCTACATTTAGGCAGCATTCATAGTTTTTTAAAGAATGCACAGCTATATTGATTGGTGTTTTGATATGTTCTTGAGGATTGGCTTTAAACTGAGGCTCCTTATAGCTCCCCCTTTTTAATCTTTAAACACTCCAAAACTCAAACATCTGGAAAAAGAAGTGGAAATGTGCCAAAGAAAAGATTATGCATTACACAGAACATGAATTAAAAACACAGTTGGTAAATAAAATCAATGAGCAGTCAGTGTTGGGACCCCTAATCTCATGGACCCAGGCAACATAGTACCTCTGCATCCACCCCAGTAGTAAAGACATTTGTATTAATCAACAGTACCCAGGGGAAGACTGACAACTCATGGGTCCCCCGGGCAATAGGGGATCATGGGGCCTCTGTTTCCTTTCCTAAACTCAAAAAAAGCCTATGAAAAAGGTACCAGGGGCATCTCATGGGGCCCCCTACTGACCCCGGACCCTCGGGCAGTGCCCGAGTTTCCAAATGGTCAGTCCACCCCTGACAGTACCTTATACTGGAAAATGACTCTTCAATAAATAAGTAAATTAAGCCTTGAAATCTTTCTAGATTTCACAGCATACCTATGAAAGGCTTTTGTATGTAATTCAGGCAGTTCTGTAGTGCATTAGGCCACGTATTGCCTAAAATTACCTTGCCAGTTATACAGTACTGTGCAAAACTTTTAGGCAGATGTGAAAAATGTGTGTTAAGAAACCTCCACGATGCTTCACTGTTGCCTGCAGGCACTCATTATTGTACCGCTCTCCAGCCCTTTGGGAACAAATTTCCTCCTGCTACAGCCAAACATTTCAAATTTTGAGTCATCAGTCCAGAGCACCCACTGCCATTTTTCTGTATCCCAGTTCCTATGTTTTCATGCATAGTTGAATTGCATAGGTTTGCTTCCACATCCAATGCGTGAAAATATTTGGCTCGAGCAGGAGGCAGTTCTTTTGTGAAGGGCTGGAGAACGGTACAATAATAAATGTCTGCCAGTAACAGAGAAGCATGGTGGAGGTTCCTTGCAAGTTTGGGGCTGTATTCCTGAAAATGGAGTTGGAGATTTGGTCAGAATCAGTGGTGTCCTCAGTGCTGAGAAATACAGGCAGATACTTATCCATCATGCCTTAGCATCAGAGAGGCATGTAATTGTCCCCAAATGTATCCTGCTCAAGACAATGACCCCAAACATACAGCTAATATCATTAAGAACTATCTTCAATGCGAAGAAGAACAAGGAGTCCTGGAAATGATGGTTTGGCCCCACAGAGCCCTGATCTCAACATCGTGGAGTCTGTCTGGGATTACATGAAGAGGCAAAAGGATGTGAGGCAGCCTACATCCACAGAAGATTTGTGGTTAATTTTCCAAGATGTTTGGAACAATTTACCTGTCGAGTTCCTTCAAAAATTGTGTGCAAGTATACCTAGAAGAATTGTTGAATTGATGCTGTTTTGAAGGCAAAGGGTGGTCAAACAAATATTGACCTGATTTGGATTTCTCTTCTGTTCATTTAATTTCCATTTTGTAAGTTGATAAAAAGAAAATATTAGCGTTTATATTTCTGAAAGAACTCTTAATTTACAACATTTTTTCACACCTGCCTAAAACCTTTGCAAAGTATTGTATATCATTCAAAGAATTGTATTTCAAGAGCCGTCAGTCCAGTACTTCAGGTGTTCTTAATCCCATCCATTATAGGCTTATTAATGTATCTCCAAAAGAGGAATAAACATAAAGGTTGTGTAGCACAGAAGCATATGAGAAGGAGCCGCAATCCCACCTAATAGTACAGGACAGGATGTAACATTCCTCCATACTGTAATTCAATTCTAAGAAAAAATAGTCTAAGAACATTTGCCCAGAAAATAAAATAGCCTAAAACAATAGCCTAAGAACACTTGACCAGGAAAAAAAATGCCTAAAAAATAGCCTAAAAATATCAGTTAAAAAAATTAGTTTGCCTCCTACCTAGTCTATAGAAATATGATGGCCCATCTGTACCATGTGATTGGCTGTGGGCAATCACAGCTAATCACAGCAATACTTACTTGATGAATGGACTTCAATCAGAAAAAATGGTTGCTTATAACAGTGATTATCACTATTACAAGCAATCACAGTGTGTCAAAAAATAAAAAATCATGATCACCTCCCCAGAGCAGTACAGTGTTACTATGGTAACGCTGTACTGCTCTGGTCACAGTATGTAAAAACAAAATTGTAAAAAAAAAAAAAAGAAAAAAAGTAATAAAAAAGAAAAAATTAAAAAATATATATATATATATTTTTTTTTTACAGTGTCCCTGATCACCGTGATATCAGTTATATGATGAAGCTGTACTGCAATGGTGACAGTATGTAAAAAGAAAAGCCTACAACTTCAAAAAAACTCACTGTGCCTCCTACGAAATACCTTGGACTGTCTACTTTTCAAAAAGGGTCATTTGGGGGTGTAACGGAAGCGTAGGCAGGACAGAGCACACGGAGAAGATGGGGAACACACAAAGCTTTATTGAAGCAGCAAAAGGACAGACACTCAATGGGGAAATGGCAGGGAGGGTGATGTGTGCGCAAACCAGGGACGATTCCAGGCACGGGGGATCTTCAGCGACAGGCAGGCAGTCTCCCCCCTAGGCTTGGGGCCTCAGCCGAGCTCCCTCCGTGACTGGACAGCGGATTGGAGACTCGGGCAAGAGGCGGCAACCTACCACTGGGCAGGGGCCTCGGGCAACAGGTGGCAACCTATCACTGGGCAGGGGCCTCGGGCAAAAGGCAGCAACCTACCACTGGGCAGGGGCCTTGGGCAACAGGCGGCAATCTACCCCTGGGCAGGGGTCTCGGGCAACAGGTGGCAACCTACCACTGGGCAGGGGCCTCGGGCAACAGGCGGCAACCTACCACTGGGCAGGGGCCTCGGGCAACAGGCGGCAATCTCCCCCTGGGCAGGGTTCTCGGGCAACAGGAGGCAACCTACCACTGGGCAGGGGCCTCGGGCAACAGGCGGCAACCTACCACTGGGCAGGGGCCTTGGGCAACAGGCGGCAATCTACCCCTGGGCAGGGGTCTCGGGCAACAGGTGGCAACCTACCCTGGGCAGGGGCTCGGGCAACAGGCTGCAAACCTACCACTGGGCAGGGGCCTCGGGGACTCAACGCGACTCTAGCTGTGGAGTCTGGCCACAGCACAGCTCCCACCCAACTTTCTAGGGTCATTGGGTTCACGGGGACTCAACGGGTAGCGATGGCTCAAGCACTCAGGGGCACCACAGGTAGCTATACTCCGGGCGTGCCATCAGGACACGGGTGGTCCGCGCACACACAGCGGGGCAGTTTGGAACACGGGTGGTTGGTGCACACAGCGGGGACAGTTCAGAACACGGGCGGTCGGTGCACACAGCGCGGACAGTTCAGGACACAGGTAGTCAGTGCGCACAACAGGGACAGTTCAGGACACGGGTGGTCGGTGCACACAGCGGGGGACAGTTCAGAACACGGGTGGTCGGTGCACACAGTGGGGACACTCAGCAGCAGACAGCTTCCAGGGACACGCAGCCACGGACAGTGTGCAGGGTCCCTCAGCAGCAGCTCCCAGGGCACAGCAGCAGACAGGGTGCAAGGGTGCCCAGTAGACAGGCTTACAGACTGGCAGGGTCTCAGCTGTGGGGTCTGACCTTTGAGGAGGAAGCTCATGCAGAGCTGTGGAGACTCCCAACCCTGGGGTATTGCAGAGGGCTACAGTCCTGACCTTTTGGGGGTCTGCAGAGTGCGCAGGGGCGGTGGCTGGGGAGGCTCGGTCCCCCTCACCCGAGCCTCCAAGCATCTTTCTGGGAGCAAGATGATTCCAGCAGCATGGACAGGAACAGAGAGAGGAGGGCTGCTTCCTGTGCGGGTCTTTTGAAGACCATGTGGGACGCGGCTAGGTTGGCTCAGCAACGGCCGGCCCAGCCCTGTCCATGGAAGCCCCACAGACCTCGGAATGTGCAAGGGGGAAGGGAGGGGTGGAGGGATATGGCAGGGGATGGGAGAGGCACTGGCAGTCCGTGACAGGGTGGTATTTGTACTGTCCTGGCATTTTCTGGCCTCAAGATAAGAGACAGGCAATCAGCACATCAAGATTAGTGGATTTACATATATATATATACAGTATATATATAAACATATACTGTATACCATAGCTTGTGGACTATATAACTTTTATACAGACTAAATGTTTAAAAACACCGGAAACAAACGCTTGAAAAACCATCTGAAAAACGCTCAGTTCAAGTGTGTAGCTTATACTGTAAATTTGAAAATAAAAAACCTACCCTCTGGATGTTTTCCAGGGCAAAGTGTCATGCCAAAATGTAGGCATTTCTGAACAAGGATCATGGTGAGTCTTTCTCAATAGAAAAGTTTAGGACAGGCTAAGATTCCTCTCATTAAACCTTTGTTAGGACAGACAGTGTTCAGTTTACAACTGATAAAGAGATCTGTCAGCACAGCACTGACAATGTTAATTATAGCAAAGACAATATCCAGCCCCCTCATAAAGAAAGAGAACTATGACGTTTTTCAGTGCTTGAGTTAATAAAAAAGAGCAACAGAAAAATAAATATGCAGCGCTGAAGAACATGAGATAACTAGTAATGATAATAATAATAAAATAATATAATGTAAACATATGCTATAGGTGAGCGCTACTGGTGGCACAGAAATGGTGAAGTGATGATTGAGTCTAAGAGTGACGCATCAATGTAATACAAGCTAAATATATTGGTGACATTGGTGGTAAGTCCAATCAAAAAATGTAACAGTCCATGAAGCATCACCCCTACTGTAGACGTGTATTGACACGAAACGCGTCTAGGAGGAGCCTTCGCACACACTTGACGTCACGCCGCCGGATCAGGAGGTCCGGCGGCCAACCCTTGATTTTCACTGGTCAGTGTTTTAGATGTTTTTTACAGCCTCTTCTACTGGCTACATGCTGCAGGCATGTGCTTTGTAATCCTTATTTGATTTTTTCACATTGGATTTAATAAATTTTTTATTTAAAATACTACACTATGAGTACCTTTACTTCTTATATCTGGCACTGAGTCCTCATACCTCAGCCCCAGCTTTTTTAGGCTTCTGCGTGGATCCAAGGAGCAGTGTGATCCGACCAGACCAATATCTTCTTATCATTGAGGGACCACCCAGGTACCACCAAGCAGCGCCTGCATGAGACCTCGGCTACATGTGACCTGTACATGCGCATTGAGATTGCGCTTCTGGTAAGTGGGCAATCTATCTATCCCTCGATATTGGATTGGATTACACCAACGTTTTTGGAAGTTTTTTCATAATTGAACTGCTTACCACATCTGATATTATTACATTGGACAATCATCTTTTCTCATGTGTTATTTCACATAATTGTTATAAAGATATTGTTTGTAGCGCTGCACTTTTATTTTGTCAATTTCAGTTGGAAAGGTTTTGTGGTTCCTTTTAGTGCATTTGCTGCTCACTGGAGTGCGCTCACTAACTTATCTACATAAGTCCATGAAGCGGGGGGATCCGTGCTCCGTGCTGGTAATTGCTGGTGCCAAGAGCCAGTAAGATTATGCACTTACCAGAAGTACATAGAATGTGCACATTATATGTATATCCTATAATAGGGTCATCTAGGTCTGGTCCAGGGCTGCGGGGGCATCAGGCTCAGAAGTGGACACTCAGGATGGTGTTGCTCACACTCTGGGGTCCCACTCCGCTCACAAACCCATCAAAACAGCTCCAAGTGATGGCTCCAAATCCCAAGATGGCTCCATCTTATAGGGCTCGTAATGACCAAGCCAGAGAACAAAATTGTGCTGATAGTGTAGTATATTTATTTATTTATGTTAAAAAAATCCAGGTTTAAAATAGAAAACTCACATGTGATCACAAAATAAAGATGGCCACCCTCACGGCCGTGTGCGGCTTGGCGTCACTCCGGTGGGCTCCGCTGACGCATTTCATGCACCAGCACGTTGTCAAAGGGGTGAGCCCACCCGGAAGACGCCGAGACTTAAATAGTGAATTGTGCATGCGTAAGCGCAAGCGTGCGTCTTGCGGAGAGATGCGCGCATGCGGGAGCATGTCACCAAGCGCGCCATGCGAAGTGACGTGCGCATACACAATTATTCGCATTGATCAAACGGATCAGTGACAAGATATACCGTACTATACGGGATGGATACATAAATATAAGGGTATAGATTAATAAGATTATGCCCAACCTGAGGGGAACTCTTAAGGAAGCAAATATGTTTGCAGAATATTATACTATGTTAGTATTATTAATGTAGATGGCAAAAAGACGCCATTTTATTGGAGTCCAATTCTACGCATATATTGATAGTAAAAAAGAGCATCTAAAATGGTAAGTAGCAATTTTTTAATTATTTATTGCTATGTAAATGAGAACAATAACAAATACAGTATAAGTAAGTATTATCCCAATTTAGCTGTAAAACAGGAAATACACTTTAAAGTGCTCATACAAGCAGAAAAAGGTCATTTATTGCTTTAGTCTCACAAATGATAAAGACACTCACCAAACTATCCATTTCTGTGGTTTACAAAATCGGTTAAAATGATTTTAAATTATCGCCTTGTAAAACAACCCATTTAGTTTAAACAAAAATGAAAGGGAAAACATTTGTTTATAGATATAAAAAACATTATAAATAAATTTTCTCCCTTTTTTAATAAGTGATCAAATTTCCTCTGTTCTAAGCTGCATACGAGCTGGGGGGGAGGAAAAGCAATAATACATTGATCTTCCCAGTGAATAGATGTGCAGGGGGGCATGCGAGGAAAAGTCTGATCATTGGAGGAGAGCACACTGAGTTCCCAGCACAGCTAGAGAACTGACCATGTTGTGCTCTTCTGCTTAGTGTGGTGAGTTTTTAATAGGTATCAGGAGTGTGTAAACGCTCCTGATCTTTGACAGCTGCTGGTTTTATTCCAGCATCCTGGTTTTAGCTATGATGCAACCCTGTCTGTCTGTCCACCTGCAAGGTGATTGATGTGGCCAGTCTGATTGGAGACAGGGCCTTCTTTAACGCGGGTCAAAGGGGGCAGCTGCACTGGGCCCTGTCATTGTCATGGGACCCAAAGCAGCTGCCCCTTGAGTCTGCATTGCCCGGGAACGCCTGTAGCAGGGCCAGCACCAGGATGGGTGGGTTTAAAAATCCGGCACTGACTGCTTCTGGTGCCCTGCAACAGAGCGTGCATGTGGTGTGGGAGCGTCTTCTGGCTCAGCGTTGTTGGGCTGCCAAGGTGAAGAGGAACTGGACTCCTCTGCTCTGCATTTTACTTTGTCCCTGCTCCGAACTCAGCCTTCTCTCTCCCTTCTGATTTGCTGCAGTTCCTACCTTGTCCTGCAGGTGGAGAGGCTGGTTGGGGCATCTGAAGAACAGAGCTCCAACAGCCATGTAGAGGTGGGTCTGGAGATCTCCATAGTATGGGGGGCCTAGCAGCAAGGTAAGAGCTGTTGCAACTTCCTTAATTTACTGACAGTGCTTTGTCGCCCCTTTCCCAGTCCTCCAGAATATCTCTGCTCCCATGTGGTGTTCTGCAGGGCAGGGTGAAGGGAGACAGGTGTGATGTTCTACAGGGCTGGAGGCAAATGTGATGTCTGCAAGGCTGAAGAGAGGTGTGATGGTCTGCAGGGCTTGAGATGTGTGTAATGCTCTGCAGGGATGAGAGAGGGGTGATGCTGTTCAGGGCTGAAAGTGGGGAGATAGGTGTGATGTTCTGCAGGGCAAGGAGAGGGGAGACAGTTGTGATGTTCTGCAGGGCAAGGAGAGGGAAGACAAGTGTGATGTTCTGCAGGGCAAGGAGAGGGAAGACAAGTGTGATGTCCTGCAGGGCAAGGAGAGGGAAGACAGGTGGGATGTTCTGCAGGGCAAGGAGGGAAGACAGGTGGTACTAGCTAGTACACTCACATCTTAGTGAATCAAGGCCAAGGCATCAATTGCAAACACCAAAATGGAACCCACATTGTGATCATCCTCAGGGGCCTCTGCAACTGGACTTTGCTGCAACATTCAACTGGAGGTAGGGGAGGGGCTCTGACGTCACGACGCCGCGGTGGACGAGCGGCATTTACAAGCACAGGATCTGGGCACAGCTCTGTTGGATACAGCTCTGTGGGAGACAGTACAATGTGAGTGGCAACTTATTCTCATTAAAAGATTTAACCTCACAAAGGATAAGGCACTATTGTGGCTCTTTTTTACATGGTTCCCCAATTTATTGGGAGGAGGAAATACTACTTAAACCATCTCTACTACCCATTGAGGCTCAGTGTGGAAGGAGGAAAAAGGGAGACCTCTGGTGGCAGGAAAAAGGCAATATAGATCCACGGCATGGGTGGATATACACACATAATATGAAGATTACCACCCAGTCCTGATAGGACAAAAAGCATTGTTAGCCACTTTGTTTGGCTAAATAAGGAGGTGAGCGCACACCTATCTATAGAGCACGGGGAGTGTGGCACAGCACTGGATTTGTCACTGAATAAATATAAAGTATAAAGAGGACTATTGTTTAGTATTGAATCAGTATTATTTTGATGAGCACTATATGTTGCACTGATTTGAAGCACAAAAGTTTTTTTTACATCACTATTTATATGATCACTTGTATATATGGAGCGCGGCACCTGTATATGTATCTGAAGATATATATACATATTTTGTTATATAACATCTCTAAATTGCTTCTTCTCTTCTGTTATGTTACTGAATTTACCAACAAGTGTCTAATGCTGGCCAGACAGAGTTAGAGAAACTAAAACACAAAAAAGTAAATATGTTTTGCTGCTGTTTAATTTTACACTGTCATCTTGGATACATGCCCACAACGTCCTTGTGATAATTATGGGCCAACTC